AGCGGATACAGAACTAAAAACAAAAACCCCACACGTCAATGTGGGGAACAATGGACTGCATTGTGGCATAATCGAGCATTTGGATTACAACAGATTACAACCCCCTAATATCATACCCGTAACCACCTGGAACCAATTGGACCCATTTTTGGTCCTTGCAATCCTTCCAAGCTGTTGAAGCCAAGGACCAAAGCCTGGATTTCCAGTGTTGTGGTGCCCGAGGAACAAAAAAGTGAACGAAGAAATCCGACATATTTCCACAGCAAATCCGATGATATGAGATTTCTTTGGGAAAACAAAGGCTTAAACGGCTTAAACCTTTAGGACGCACCGCTTTTGGGATGTTTTTGCCATATTCTGGATGTAGCTTGTTTCGTGCGTGCCCATTCTGTTGGGATGACACTTTTCCTGTCTGGTGATTGTGGTCCACATGTATCATCATGAATCCACATTATGTATCGTGTCGCAAAGTCCTGCAAATCCAATTTCTGACGTGTCCTTCCTCGTTCATCACTCTTCATCAATATCATCAATGTTCATGAGGAGTCCCGGGAGGAGTTTCAGTCGCGCCTGTTAGCCTCTTGCAAGTCTGTCACAAGCATCTGCTCTACCTCTTTCAGCTTCCTGCATGTCAGAGTGATTGGATCCTTGTCTACATGGTGTATGTCATGAGTCAATGCAGTCAAGCCTTTGATGGCTTTGGTATGTCATGTTCCGATGGCCGAAGAGAGTCCAGAAAGCTTCCAAGGTGCACAAGAAACATCCGTTGAGTGCACTGATCGGCAGGATGCCGTGATACTGTCCAAACACCCGCTGGTAGTCTCGACCACCAGCAGTTGTGCAGGTAGCCGATAACCGTCTTCTATTACATAAATTACATAAAACATCAACTGCTTCCATTTTATGGCATGATATGGTATGCAGCCATCAACAAAACCGTTCTCGGCAGTATATAACATATAACTATATTGTACGACACTGCAATTGCTCCCACTGACTGGCCCACTGACATTGACCATCGTCGACCATCCTGGCAGGCTATCCACGTTTCCTTCCTATCCTCTATTTGCCTATGGAAGGTCAAGGGTTCCATGGATGTTCCCAGGTCCTGCCTAGTGAAGCCATCGCCGAAGCAGCCGTGCACATTGCAGTGCAGCTGATCCGTAAACTCCTTGTTGCGCTTGGTGGAAATGATGTGAAATGTCTGAAGCTCGGACATTTATCGCGGATTGCCGGCAGATAAGATTTTGTGTTACGATGAGAAATGTGGAGTTTGTTCATGTTTAGAATGCTTTTTCAGCATGATTTTGGTGGATGTTGATTGTTAACCACGGAGACAGTGGGCTTCAGTTGGTGCCCGAAGAGATCGCCATGATGTGGATACTCAGGATTGATGTCGAGCAAGGTATGATAAAGCATGATAAATATGTAGAGATATGAGATATCCCCCTTGAAATTATCCCCCTTGAAATTATCCCCCTTGAAATTCACCCCAAGGGGTCAGACTTCACTATTGTACTGTGGTCAGACTTCACTATTGTACTGTAGCTATAAACCGCGGGGTCTTGCAAAAAACGTACAAAATGAATGGGTGCAAGCAAAAAAAACTCCACACAGAATGGTAGGGCTGTGTGCATCAACCAGCTCTTTGCAGCACGCACATTTTGTAGGGAGGTATATGGAGGTATATATTTTTTTTTTCTGAGTATAAATTTTGCTTGCATGCTTGGACCCTGAGCCCCAAATAAGGCATCATTTTGTAAGAACCTGTTGCTCTGCCATTTATCTGCGTTTTTCTCACTCAGCCTTCAATTGTCTTTAAGGAGCAACCCATCCTTTTTACAAGGAAATGGGTTCACTATGGTTTATTTATATTTGCATATATTTGCTGCCTTTTTGTTGCAATGTTGACGCAGAGTGAAGTGTTTTGTGTCTTCTTACACAATGAAGGGGTGTCACCACATAAGTCCTACAAGAAGATGGGGTGCACCATGCGCACCAAGTGCACCACCAATTGTTCAGTTTCCCTCCATAACTTTCCATACCTACAAAGATCTCACAAATAGATCTGCATAGAAATTCAAGTCTTACATTGTCTTACAAAGTGCTTGGGTGACTTGCAGAGAAGAACACGGTACATCAGACCATCCTGATAACACCCTCCCTTTTTGTCAGCCAATGCATGAAGCTTTGATGCGACAACCAACATCCCTGCACAAATTTGGAAAGCACATCGTTTTTCAAGAACAGCACGAATTCCCTGCAAAATGACCTCTTAAAATAGGCAAATAATTTCCCAGCCAAGATCTCAAACTACATTTCGAGATTGCTATATGATTCATATATATGATAGTAATTTTATGCCTAAATCATCAATTTTATGCTACAAAATGGCTGGGATCTTGAAAGTGATTTCCAAAATGAACCTAGAAATCGACCCTACATGGGCCTCCAGGCCAGCCATTTCATAGGGGAAATTTCAACGGGGATGTAGAGATTGTAGAGATCAATTTGTGCAATTCTTCTGCATGATGAACCTTCTTGATAGCTTCGAAAAATGTATTCGTTGAAAGGTAACATGTAATATGAGGTAATCATGTAATCATGAGGCCCTCAACTCCCGATGCGCTTCGCTGTTCATCCCTTGTGACCTGCGATTTGGACATGAAACATGAAACGCCAACATTTGTAGGATGTTGTCATCTGATCTATGTTGTACCTTTGGATTTTCATTGTGGATCATTGTGGGACGTGGGTCTAGAAACAAAAATCTCCCCAGCTGATCAAATCATCCGCTCCTTCGAGAAAAGACAGGAATGCTTTCGAAGAGATCGGATCTGCTTCTGTACCTTGGGTGCAGCTGATTCAGTGCAGATTTTGGCCGCCTGTGTGATTCACAATGATTCACAACTCTCAGAAGCAAGCGAACATCGTCTATAACCTCGCAGCCTGGAGATATTGAAATATGCTCCAATCTTGCAAAAAGGCCTCGAATGATGCATCCTCTTTACTATTTACATCATATTTACAATACAATGAGATACAATGAGCGCATAAAACTGTTGGAAACGAAGCAGGCCAAGCAAGCTGTCTGCAGTTAACGAGCAAATGAAGTACAATGAACATCAATGAACTATAGTACCCCCCATGCTTGTCCGTGAAACACAGACTCAAACACATCTTCACTTTTTGGCTCTTCGTGTCCACGACACACTTTGTAGAACTTCATGAATTTTCTACCAGGCCACAATTGAAGGCTTCAAAAAATCACCTTCAACTAAGCCTCAGTTAGACAAATTTCAACGTTGGTTCTTCGGAAATCTCCTGCACACTCACGACAGGTTTTGTTCATGCAAATGGTAATCAACTCCGTTGATATGTTCCTGAGTACACAGTCGCATGCTTCGTGGTTTTAACAGGAAGTGGCAAGAATAAGAACATTCACGCACTTGAATTCAGACCTTTCCGTTTCTGTGTAAAAAACCACTGCTCTCTCTCTCTCTATCTATATACAATCAAACACATTGTCATATTGTAAGCTAGAAAGACATCCTGCTCAGTGCTACCTGAACACTTTCGTAGTGGCAAACACTTTAGCCTAGAACGCCCGAGGAAAAAAATGGCGGTGGCCGTGGCGCTGTGAAGCAGTTCTGCCAAGCATCGCATCAAATCCATCTCGACGTTCTTCAACAAAGCGCCATAGTCAGCAACACTTAATTTGCATCCTGGGTGCACTTCGTCACTTCAGCATGAGCTCTGAACACAAAACCTAAAATCTACTCAATGCCTGTGATCATCTACGGCTACCGTCACCAAATGACCCCAGCCCAGTCTATTTGAATATGCTTCGTGGATCTTCGTGGCGTTGTCATTCTTTGATTGGACAGGTGCTGTGTCAGAACGTCCGTTCAGTGCCAGGGCGCTGTCCTGCCCTGGCGCATACCTCGCATGACTGGACGCAATGTCTGGCTGCTGGCTATGTCTGGCTACTTGCCAAATGTACAGTTTCTATCAGTTTCTTAAAATGTTCACTTTGCTTCACCCCTTCCCAAGCAAAAGTGAACCAAGCCAACAATGCTAGGAGATGCTAGGAGTGTGAATTCTGGCTGCGAAACAATGACACCAACCATGTCACTTCCTATCAGCTACCAAGATGCCAATCAATGATGTGCATGGTGGTGACTTGGTCATCCTGCACAGCGTCTGGGACAAACGACGCTCGAGGTGAGATATTTTTGGCAATGCCAAATGACGGCAAAAACATGCAAACACCATCCAAACCATTCAAAGACCATTCAAAGACCAATATACAATACAGTACATCAGAAAATATAAGAACATCTAAAAACATAGACTAATTTTTAAGATACATGTTGACTGAACAAATCATCAAATGAGTCAATTGTCAACAAGCTATCCCAGCGGTGAGTTGATCCGGAACATCATGCAAGAAACAGTCCTCTGTGGACTGATATGAACAAATTGAAGCGTTTCCAGGATCTTTCACTGTACCTGAGAAACACAGTGAAACACAGCCTTCTCCAAGTATCTTCAGACTTCTTTCACAAGCTGGAAATTCATATTGTGGTGCAAACATGTGATGCAACCAAGTGACACTGTTGAAGATCCGGAAGTCCTGATCATGGCTCTAGCAATAGAACGACCAGGTTCTTTTCTCTTTTCATTCTTTTCCTACTCTTTTCCTACTCTTTCGATCTCTTTCGATCTCTTTCGTATGAGCACAATGGGTGATGATGGGCCATGGGTGTCCAAAATTGCTGTGCTGTGACTCTGTGACTCCCCAGAGCATCGACTTTCGGAGTCCTCCTGCGCTGGAGCGGATGTCACATTGCCTTAGATTGGGGTGGGTCCTTCGCAGGTCCCGACACCAAGATTCAGACTGATTCAGAAAATTCACCAGGTGCTTCAAGCGGTGCTTCTTGGATTTCTTTTGGATTTCAATCGGTTCTGTCAGATCTGTCAGGTTCTGTTTCGGATTTTAGTCGCAAATGGTCGCAGGCAAGCAACCGAAATTCGCCCAAGGATACTTTGACCCCATGTCGCCGCATAAAGCAAAACCTCAGCGCCAGTCTTGCATCGCAAGCAAACTACACTAGGTCACTAATTAGGTATTGATTGCCTCTCCATCGCAAATGGATGCAACAAATTAATGCAATCTTGATATTGAGGAGAATAATGGAGAATCCGGGGGGGCAGTCTCGGGACCCACACCAAGTAGGCCAAGGTACAAGCGAACCAGTGCCTCTCGAACTCTGTAGATCTCTCTATACACACCTCGGTGCGTAAGTAACACAAGGTCACATGTTTGGCTCATATAGAACCATGCAAAGAGACAATTAGGACGCATTAGGACATGATCCGTTCTAATTGCCTGGCTGCGCTGCAACATGTAACTTGAGCAAACAAAGGGCTTCATATTAGGCTGGTACTTTACGACCAATCTGCAAAGCGGTCCCTTTCCATAAACGACTTGGGGAATTCTTGTAATATGACAATTATGAACATCATCAACCATTTCGTTCCCCTCTGAAATGGCATACAGTTTGATTTGGATCCACAGTGATGCGACTGGTCACATCTTTGAAAGTTCTTCGCGATGTCCGTCTCGTTGCGGCCAGCCTCACAGAGTCGACCATCCCCTCAAATCCCTCAAGCTTATCCTACTCATCCTACTCATCCTACTCCAAATATGCGCGATAAATCGCGATATGCCGTGAATTGTTTCATAATGTTTCATAATGTTTCATACATGTTCATTTGACAACATGTTCATAGCACCTCTGGTAGAATCTGGATGAATCTGGTAGGTGGTTTGGAGAGATTTAGGATCAACGACTCATATCATGATCGGATCAGTGATGGACTTGTCGATGGAATACAATGGAATACATGGCTATGAGTCAAAACCCTGGCACCGGTACCCGCGAATAGCTGGTTAATGGATGTTTATTCCCCAAAATATGGTGATTTATGGTTATTTCATACCTTTCGACACATCACATGGATGCGATTCCATGTGGTCCACCATGGTCCACCATGGTCCACCATGGTCCACCAGGTTGGTCAAGTCGCACCTGGATCTGTACATCGTAATAGCTTGCCGCCTGTGCCACAGGGACACGGTAGGCGGTATATCCAGATTTCGCGTGCATGATCCACTCAGAACCTGGGCAGGGTGGCAGGCTTGAAATGGGATGTCAATGGAAATAATATGATGGAATACCGTGTAAATATGGTATAGATAATATAATAATATAAATACATGTTCTATTGCATTGAATATGTGATATAATATTAATCAGAATGATTTATAGTTGTACAATATTGTACAATGATGGAGTGACGATTTAAATCGTTCGTCGGAATCACCCAATCACATGGCCATTCTGCCACCTGAGTTGGTGGGCTCTAGGCCTTGAGAACCATCCCTTGGATCTGCGATGCCAAGTGGCCATTGCGATTGCCTGCCAGGTTAAATTCGCCACCGAGCCGTGCAAGGCCTGAGCATTGAGAACGGCAAAGAATGATCCCCTTTGCCCAATGCAGAATCCGAATACTGGGCAAGAATCTGTTGAATTATGTTGACTTCTGGTGGAATGAAGTAGCCGTAGCCATACAATGCTACTGCCGTACGCTTTGACTTTGACTCACATTGGTTTTTCTAATTACTGAGGAATGGTCAACATCCAGGTTCTTTCTGCACAACTTCAACTTTGATATCTCTGGCAACTTCGCTGCACCTCGGTAGGGACCTGCGATGCCATTCTCACCGAAGAAGGTCTGACGGAATCGGCATTTTCATCTGACCCAATTGGTGGAGTCTTGTCAGCCGAAATCTGCCGAAATCTATCAGTTTCGTGTCTCAAGAAACGGTTTCAGAACAAAAACAGACAGGGAATTGGTCAGGAGATGTGAGGAGTCATGATGTATTGAGATGTTTCAACAAGTCCAAGCCGCGACCATGTTGAACTGTTGGACCGTGCACAATATTTGTCATCCCCGTTCCCCGTTCCCCTTGCCGCCCTTGCCGCCCTTGCCGCCCTTGCCGTGTGCCTTACCAGGTGCTAAATCTCCATGTTTCACCTCAACCAGTTTTTGCCCACGGCGCTGCATGATCGGTGCGATGACAAGGTTGTAATCCTCGTCCAAGATCCTGGGTTCTGGAGGCAAATTGAGAATGGATCAATCTCGGACTCGAAAGTGGACATCAACATCATAGATCATGATACAAATCAGACTAATTAAATCAACGTCATACGAAGATACATAATATATAAAGCATTGTAAGTCAATCATAGTCAATCAAATCAGTATATAATATATATATAATATCACTAATTACCCTTTTAAGGGGGGGACGTATCCAAATTGCAAGACACAATCTAGACGTTTTTGAGGGAGGGGGGCCTGGTAAATGTCAGCAAACATTTATTTTTCTAACTGCGTTCTATTTGCAAGATTTCATTTTTGTAGGTCCCCTCACTCTTTACGGGATTTCATTTATTTTCTTAAACAACGCAGGGGGGCGTTCAAAATGTCCGATTGCATTTTTGAAAAAAATGCAAGAAAATGAAAAACAAATGTAAAATTGTAGTGTGAAGGTCTGCAAATAGCTGCAGAATTGAAGAAAATCAAAAATGCAAACTGAAAGTTTGTAGGACCCCAATTGCTTGGTATTTCCACTACATTCTACACTTTTTCTGCACCTTTTTTATCATTTCCACATGTAACATAGAGGTATAGAAGGTATATTACTCCTTGCAAATTAAATAAATGTAAAATTAGATGTTGAAGGTCTTCAAATTTACCTCCTTACCTATGGAAAAAACAATAGAGTACAAATAAAGATCTCAAATGGACCTCAAATGGACCCCAAAAGGACCTCAAATGAACCTTTATGGGGTCCCCATGATAAACCCCTTTATGTACCTACATGATCGAACTTAAACACCCTTCTGCCACGGTTCCTATCTAGCCCCCCTTATGACCCTCCAACCATGATATAATAATCTACACATGTGTCATGTTGATTCTGAAAGGAACTGTGGAACCCTGAGGTGTAGGACGGTTACGTTTTTCTATCTTAGCTTTACCTTCTTTTTCGAGCACTTTCTGCAAGGAACTATGGACCTTATGTATAGGATGGTGTTTTTTTGTTAAAAAAAAAATCTTATATATATGTGCCTTCTTTTTTAAGCACTTTCTGAAAGGAATTCTAGGCTTCAGGTGTGGTATGGTTACATTTGTCTATCTCATTTTTACCTTCTTTTAAAGCAATTTCTGCAAGGAATTAAGGACCTCAGGTGTAGGATGGTTACATGATTCTATCTTATCTCCACCTTCTTTTTTGAGCACTTTCTGCAAGGAACTATGGACCTTATGTATAGGATGGTGTTTTTTTGTTAAAAAAAAAACTTATATATATGTGCCTTCTTTTTTAAGCACTTTCTGAAAGGAATTCTAGGCTTCAGGTGTGGTATGGTTACATTTGTCTATCTCATTTTTACCTTCTTTTAAAGCAATTTCTGCAAGGAATTAAGGACCTCAGGTGTAGGATGGTTACATGATTCTATCTTATCTCCACCTTCTTTTTTGAGCACTTTCTGCAAGGAACTATGGACCTTATGTATAGGATTTTTTTTTTTCAATCTTATATTTAGCTTTTTTTTTAGGCACTTTCTGCCAGGAATTATAGGCCTCAGGTGTAGGATGGTTACATTTTCCTATCTTAGTTTTACCTTCTTTTTCGAACACTTTCTGCAAGGAACTATGGACCCCAGACATAGGTTGATTACATCCCCACAAAGACACCTCACAAACAGTTTACAAACTGCTTGCGGACATTTAACAATTTTTGCCTCCACCCCCATCCGTAGAGTACAGTAGGGGGGGGGGTTCGGAGGGGGGTACGGGGTGACGTATCTCTTAAGGACTTTCAACCCCCCCTCCCTAAATGTAAATCTTCCGGGGCACGGTTTTAGACGAGGGGTCTAACATACATATATAGCCTTCCCCATCGGGAAAAAATACGAAGGGGTCAAAATTGTTGCTTACATTTTTTGAACGTCCCCCACGCTTACACCCCACGAAAAGGGTGGTGATTATATATTATAATCATTTTGGAAGCAAACCACGTCCAGTATCATCCATGGGCCTACTGCGAGGTCTACATGCAGCATCGTGCGTGGATCCACGAACAGCCCAGCTTCCAAATGAAATCACCATCCTGCGCTCCGCGGTCTCGTGGCCATATTTTCAGCAAGGATGGCAGAAGCATCAGTATCTGACTGGTTGGAAGCCTCAATCTGAGTCGGCTCTTGAAATCTGGGGTGATGAGTTTGATGAGTACCTGCTTAGCTAGAAGTATTTTTCCATTTGATGAGTTTGACCAGCTTTTGCAACTCTGAGATTCTGCAACCAAGGGTCAGCAACAGTAGGGGATGTCTCAGGCATTAAATTGGAAACAATGCTTGGCCAATGCACAGAGTAGGAGTTGCAGCAGTGAGGCAACAAACTCAAACATAATCTAAACCAATGCAAAATAACACCATTCTTTGGCGGTCAAAACTCCACATCCAGCAGGTTGTCCGCCATGCACCACTAGAGTCACTAGTCGCCGAAAAATCTGGCCAAAACACCGCATCATCTGTCCACCTGCAGCACTTGGAGGATGAAGTGGCAGTACTGCGACTTGCAAAACACACTTAATTATATAATCTTAATTATACAATATTAATATATATATATAGGCCGATTATGATCAATACACTTCTACTTAGGATATTATACATATGGGGGTTGTCCAAAATACCTTTTCCCGGACAGCCCTCAATCGCTCAGCCAATCGCGTAGCAACCGCGGTACCACAGTGAGCAATCGCGGAAGGGTTTGTTCTTCGTTGATCAGATCATATACATAAAATATAAGTTATGTATTATATAATGAGGATCCATGCGTGAACGCATTCGATTTCAAATTTGGGAACAAAATAAGCTCGCGCGGTCCGGAAACGGTCCGGAAAACTCACAGTAGTACCAGCAGCAGTAGTACTAGTAGTACTAGTAGTAGTGGTAGTGGAAATTGCAATAGGAGTAGGCGTAGGAGTTCTGATGGGAGGGTGAGGGAATAGGCAAGGAGAGAGAGAGAGAGAGATTGCGTTTGGCCGGTTTCTGACGGGTTTCTGACTGGTTTCTGACTGGTTTCTGACTCGTTTCTGACCCTTCACACGAGTGCAATTGGATTTAAAAGCAAGAGCAGAAATTCCTAGGTGTACTAGTGGTAGTGGTGGTAGTGGTGGTGCAGGGTGGTGCAGTAGCAGCGGGTGTGGTGGTAGTGCTGGGGGTAGTAGCAAATCTAGTAATGAGAGTAAGGATCCATGCGTGAACGCATTCGATTTCAAATTTGGGAGCAAAATAAGCTTGTGCGGTCCGGAAACGGTCCGGAAAACTCACAGTGCACTAGCAGTAGCAGTAGCACTAGCAGTAGTGGTAGTGGAAATTGGAATAGGAGTAGGCGTAGGAGTTCTGGTAGGAGGGTGAGGGAATAGGCAAGGGAGAGAGAGAGAGAGGTTGCGTTTGGAGTAGGAGTAGGAGTAGTAGTAGGAGTAGGAGTAGGAGTAGTAGTAGTAGCAGTAGTAGCAGTAGTAGTAGTAGTAGTAGTAGCAGGAGTAGTAGTAGTAGTATTAGTAGCAATGATAAGAGCTGAGGTGGATGGATGGATGGATGGATGGATGGGATGCTAGGCAAGTGCTGCCTTTTTGGTGTTTCTGACCTGTTTCTGACCTGTTTCTGACCTGTTTTCAATTGGAGCTAGCTTGAATGTCCTTCCGCGCGCGCGGAATCCGCGCGGCCATGTCAATTATTGGCATGGTTCTGGTCTCGAGTAGTAGTAGTAGTAGTAGTAGTAGTAGTAGTACTAGCAATACTAGTAGTAAAAGTAGTACGAGTAGTAGTAGTAGTAGTAGTAGTAGTAGTAGTCGTACTCGTACTCGTACTCGTACTAGTAGTAGTTTTTAGTAGTAGTAGTAGTAGTAGTAGCAGCAGGAGTAGTAGTAGTAGTAGTAGTAGTTTTTAGTAGTAGTAGTAGTAGTAGCAGGAGTAGTAGTAGTAGTAGTAGTAGTCGTAGTCGTACTCGTACTAGTAGTAGTTTTTAGTAGTAGTAGTAGTAGTAGTAGTAGTCGTAGTAGTCGTAGTAGTCGTAGTAGTCGTAGTAGTCGTAGTAGTCGTAGTAGTAGTCGTAGTAGTAGTAGTAGTACTAGCAGTACTAGTAGTAAAAGTAGTACGAGTAGTAGTAGTAGTAGTAGTAGTAGTAGTCGTACTCGTACTAGTAGTAGTTTTTAGTAGTAGTAGTAGTAGTAGTAGTAGTACTAGTAGTAGTAGTAGTAGTAATAGTAGTAGTAGTAGTAATAGTAGTAATAGTAATAGTAGAAGTAGCAATGATAAGAGCTGAGGTGGATGGATGGATGGATGGATGGATGGATGCTAGGCAAGTGCTGCCTTTTTGGTGTTTCTGACCTGTTTCTGACCTGTTTCTGACCTTTCCCGGAGTCTTCTTCAACTTCAAAAAATCAGCACGGGCAGTCAAACTAGGAACAATTTTAGTGATCGTCAAAGTAATATCATTACTAGTGCCCCAAATACTAGTACTAGTGCTACTACTAGTAGTAGTAGTAGTAGTGGTAGTAGTAGTAGTAGTAGGAGGAGGAGTAGTAGAAGTAGTAATAGTAGTAATAGTAATAGTAGAAGTAGCAATGATAAGAGCTGAGGTGGATGGATGGATGGATGGATGGATGGGATGCTAGGCAAGTGCTGCCTTTTTGGTGTTTCTGACCTGTTTCTGACCTGTTTCTGACCTGTTTCTGACCTGTTTTCAATTGGAGCTAGCTTGAATGTCCTTCTGACCTGAAAACATCTGCGCGGATTCATTCCGCGCGCGCGGAATCCGCGCGGCCATGTCAATTATTGGCATGGTTCTGGTCTCGAAAGTAGTAGTAGTAGTAGTAGTAGTCGTAGTAGTCGTAGTAGTCGTAGTAGTCGTAGTAGTCGTCGTAGTAGTAGTAGTAGTACTAGCAGTACTAGTAGCAGTACTAGTAGTAGTAGTAGTAGTAGGAGTAGTAGTAGTAGTAGTAGTAGCAGTAGCAGTAGTAGTAGTAGTAGTCGTACTCGTACTAGTAGTAGTAGTAGTAGTAGTCGTCGTCGTAGTAGTCGTAGTAGTAGTAGTAGTAGCACTAGCAGTACTAGTAGTAGTAGTAGTAGTAGTAGTAGTGGTAGTAGTAGTAGTAGAAGTAGTAATATCAGTAATAGTAGTAATAGTAGTAATAGTAGTAATAGTAGTAATAGTAGTAATAGTAGTAATAGTAGTAATAGTAGTAATAGTAGTAATAGTAGTAATAGTAGTAATAGTAATAGTAGAAGTAGCAATGATAAGAGCTGAGGTGGATGGATGGATGGATGGATGGGATGCTAGGCAAGTGCTGCCTTTTTGGTGTTTCTGACCTGTTTTCAATTGGAGCTAGCTCGCGCGCGGAATCCGCGCGGCCATGTCAATTATTGGCATGGTTCTGGTCTCGAAAGTAGTAGTAGTAGTAGTAGAAGTAGTAGTAGTAGTAGTCGTCGTACTCGTACTGGTAGTAGTAGTAGTAGTAGTAGTAGTAGTCGTAGTCGTAGTAGTCGTAGTAGTCGTAGTAGTCGTAGTAGTCGTAGTAGTCGTAGTAGTCGTAGTAGTCGTAGTAGTAGTAGTAGTAGTCGTAGTAGTAGTCGTAGTAGTAGTAGTAGTAGTAGTACTAGCAGTACTAGCAGTAAAAGTAGTAGTAGTAGTAGTAGTACTAGTAGTAGTAGTAGTAGTACTAGTAGTAGTAGTAGTAATAGGGTGGTAGCCGTATAACCAATCGCCAACCAATCGCTCAGCCTATCGCGATGCAGGTTTTAGCAATCGCGCAAAGCAAAGTAAACGCATCAATTCATAAATTTGTGACCTGCTTTTACGGACGGCTCCCATGTATAGTCTAGTCAACAAAAAAGTCCCAGCAAAAACTCGATTTTTTGGGGGGTGGGTTCTTAAGTCATGGGGGATCTCCAAGTCACCATGGGAATGCCAAGATGCCAAGTCATGATCCATGACTTGGATGTTTGGGGGTACCCCATGACTTGGGAAACCACCATAGGAACTGAGCCATGCAGGTCACCCGACTTCAGAGCTGCGGCGGAACCTTCCATCCTCAGCGATGGCGGACACATGACCTCAGGAAGTCCTGGGGATATCAGCCAGCCGCTCGCTTGGCAGCCAACAGCCGCGTGAAGAACAGAACAAATCTGTAGAAAAAAAATCAGAGAATCACAGCCACAATTTGTGATGATCATATAAGTAAGTCACCAAATTCATCCAACTTTTACGGCGTAGCGACTCCCCAGGAGCTGGGGCCCGAACAGCTGGGCGGCGTACTTTGCCGCGTTGATGCCGTAGTTTGCGAATTGCACCTGTCACGGTCGAAACAAAATGATACAAAGATATACAAAGCATCCATGGATACAAAATGATACAAAAGAGGTTCTAATACTTTCCAAGTTCTGGTGGCTTTGCCCCGGTTTGCACGGCTGGGACTTGGCATTCGGATTGCTGCGTCTCCGGGGGCCCAGGGGTGGCAGGCGCAATACTTTGGACGTGTGGTGCTTCAAGTTTGTTTGGTAAATCCTATTGGAATTGCATGGATCTGCTATATCATGCTATACTATAATTATATGTCTATCAAGTGGTACAGTACATCATGAGAGTTTCACTTTTGGTGGCGCGCTACTGACATAACATTTTGCGTTGCGGGCACAGTACTTTGGGGACTCTTGCGTCTGTGATTTTTGCTTTTTCACAGGCATGGCTACGAGAGGTGCGATGCTGATGCTGAGTGGCTGTTCGTGTCATGTTCCAAAAGGCACGGCGATATTTCGGTGAAGTTGGAAAGGCCATGCCAAGACCTGCTTTTCCACTGTATTCAACACTGTACACTGACTTGAGACTCTGCACTCCCGACTCCACACTCTACACTCCGCTCTCTACACTCCACACTGTATACTGCACATTTTACACTCTACACTCTAAACTTACGACTCCACACTCTACAAGTAGACTCTATACACTCCCCACTCCACACTTCACTCCATACTCGAGACTCTACACTCCCACTCTACACTGTACGAGTACACCCCATATCCCACACTCCTTTGTCACACTTGACACTCAACACTCTACACTCCTCACTTCATAATCCACAATCTATAGATTCCACACACCACACTCTCCACTCAACACTTTGCACTCCGCCCGATAGACTTTGAACTTTTACACTTCAAAGTCTACACTCTACACTCCACAGTCTATAACCTACTATAACAGGGGAAGAATATTCAGGATTGTTGTACTATGTTGTGCTGCAATAAGTTGTCTTACAAAAGTGCCTTACGTGATGTGCATTCGGGTTTGTGGCTTCCGTCGGGTTTGCTGATGACAGTTTCGGGTTCACAAATGACTCATCTTGGCCCAATTGTACATACCCTCTGGTAAACATACAAAAAGATACAAAAAGCTATTGAACATGGC